AGTCTGACACTGACAGTGTGCATGGTAGTTGATACAACGTTTACTGCGTACGTCTTAATTGGTTATGCAAACTACATTTCCTTGTCGCTTGTCGTTTCCGTGATCGTACCACCAGCACTGACAAGCTCTGCACTCATGACTGTACTGATGGTTCGACTTACCGGTCGGCGTAACGTTACATGGTGGTAAAGGGGGTAAGGCTGATCTACTCGTGTCTGCTGTCAAGTGTCACTGTTAAGCCTATAACGTTTAATCATGTTTATTGTGCTGATATGATCAGGATTGTGCTGTAGTAGAATTATCATTTTCATTATTATTATTAGGCCCTGTAATCAAAAATGTATTTACTTATTTATTTATTATTTACAAAAAAACATGGTAGTGGGCAGGTAGGTGGGGAACCCATTCAGTTTATAAAAACTGTTCTCCCAGCCATAGGTCCTACTCCTAGGCCTAGTTAATAATACTATTTAAAGAGTGTGATAAAATATTTCTTTTTATTATTAGGAAAAATAAAATTAAGTAGGGCTAGGGGCCACATATTCAAAAGGACTACCAATAAACAGTGCAAAGAAGTACATGTAGTTAGCAGTTAAGTTGAACATGTTGAAACTCCCTGTTCGTGCCATTCTCAGTGGTGCACCCATGTAACGATCTGATGATCGATCCACCTGTCATGCCTGTCATGGCATAGATAGGAGGTAAGAAAAGTAAACTGCTTTTTGTGTACTCCGTCTGGGCCCTTACATGGACATGTTGGAATGTTTAAAAACAGGTGACTTTCTAAGTTCTGACATTGATTGATGTCCACAGACTTTCGCTGTGTTTTTTGTGAACTTAAATTTGACTGCCATGGCTGCAGTATGCTCACTGCTCATGCTACATGCACGACATACTGTACATAATGTACTTCAGGCTACATGCATGTACCGAGCGGCAGACTGCCTTGGTCAGTTGGTGATTGCCATGATTGTTATTTCACTTTTCAGGGAGCTTACTTTTCCCTAGACATGCCAGAATTTATTGGAAGAAATTTATTGCCACCTTGGCACAAGACTACGAACACTAATTTTCACAACGGACAAATTTTGACTTGCATTTGATCCCAACTCCAAGCACTGGGAGCGCAGAGAAAGCACCTGTCTGGTCGATCCGATCATATGCAAACACGATCACGACCCTAACTCCTTTAATTAGAAGTTAACAAATGCAGTTTTAAACATTTGTTAATTAACGGGTGACATTGTCAAATACCGACAGCTCAGTGTGTGTAACTTTTTTCACACAGTCCATGTACATACCGGTACAGTACAGGAACAGTAAAGGTTTTTTACATGTATAGCTTGAGTTTACAGCTTCAGCCTTCATAATTAGGGCTTGAACCAAGTGGTCACGTGCAATCCGTACAAGCAAGGTTTGTACGATACAATCCACCCTGATCTCAGACCTCAATTTTAGGTCTTGGCTTTTTTCTCTCCGGGATTACAGTGTATTGCAATAGAACTTCACCGAATACAATGCAGCAGGCTGCTTTCTGATGCACAGTCGAAGAAGCAAACCCATGCACCATCTATCATATAAAGAGCAAAATGAAATTTATGTAGAGTGTAGCCAGGTTTTACCTTGACCCTTCATTTCCGGTTCACCGGTCTGTGGATGGCATGAGGGCATTGACAGTTGGACCGGACGATACTACAAAGTAATGTTGTATGGGGTTCATTTGTAAGGCTCGCATTATCTGTCAGTACATGTATCTGTCATTCAAAGCACTATCCCTCCACATTGGGCTCACAACATCTGAGCATGTATCCTGAAAGTGAAACATGCTCGAGATACAGGTACATGTATCTTACAAAAGTGCCATCGTGTGAAAGGACATACATGCTTGAGAGTGACCAGCCTTCCTGGAGATTTCTGCTCAATCCTTGAGATATCTTGGAGGAGGTCTAGACTAGAGTTTCTAGACCTGCACCGGTACATATACTGGTACAAGAAAATCTTCTACTGTTGAGCTAACAACTCTAAAGTCAGGGGGTTACATGAATATGAATGAGGCACAGCCGAAGGTGGAGGTAACCTGATTGTGGAGCTGAGTCTCGGGAAAACTCTCACATGTGTCTCCATGTGAACCCTTGATCTTGGCTACTGTAAGTCGCTGGTATTACCCCGGGAGCAGAATTTACGTGCACAAATCGTAGTGCACTAGCTACAATGTACGTGTACTTGCACAGGTCTGCGAGTTGTTTGTGTCCATGCCAGTGACATGTTACACCCATAGTGTATGAAAGAAAACAAAATCGACCTGTGGATAGGCCAAGACAAGTCCCACTTTGAAGATTTGTTGAAAGGGCTGACTACATGTTAAATGTTGTGGTACACAGAGATGCGTAATCCTGTGCGTACATACATGTAAATGCAATAGAATGCCATAGAAATGCCATAGAATATGGCCAACTTCTCCTCTCACCACTTTTCCACTTTTCAAGGTCAGGTCTCTCCCCTGTCCATATTGTGATATTGTGTACATGGTGCATAGTGCCTGTACTTGTGGCATTCCAGCATTGTAATTTGTACTCAAGGACAAGGCACACATGCATGACATGTTCAGCCTTGGAAGATCGCCCACACAGTACTGAGACCCACTGTCTTTTGATAGGTACAATAGGATTAGGTGTTTCATAACATAAGGGACAAGGTGCTTCTCTGGCCTCAGCAATCTCACTGGGGTTAAGAGTGGGTCAAGAATCACACAACCTCAGCCTAAATGCTGTCATGCAATGTACATGTATGTCCTTAGACTACAGTATACATGTAAACAACAAGCTGTATGTACAATGTACTGTACATGTATTCATCCTGACATTCCTGACCCAGCTGATGGGATTTATTTTTTATGGGAAATATGGAACTCTTAGGGGCAAGTTGGATTAAGGACCATATTTAGCCATATTTCGACCATACATGTACATGTAGTTCGACTAACTCTGATCGAATGCACGCAAGTCGATGATGAAGGACCAACCACTAGTCAACTAGTGGTCCTTGATTGAACCTGCCTCTGATTGAGAGTTGACCTTGGTGACTGCACATGTGGTACCTTGACCTTTATGGCCCCATGACCTGCATGTCCATGTGCATGTGTGTGCTTTGGGTATTCTTGTCCAGGTGCTCACTTCTCACAGTTGTTAGGCCCATGCACCTGTATTTGTACAGGTGCATGTACATGAATTTATAACAATTGCCATGGAGACGCTGCATGACAATTCAGCTTTCATTTTCCCCCATAGAAGAAACATTTCCTAGAAAAAGAAAATCGCCTGGCCCTACATCTGTATGTACACTGTACATGCACATGTGCACTGTACATGTTGGTTTCCAGTACCAAAATACATGTATGCACACGTGTACCATTCATGTGTATCCATGGACATCTTCAGGCTTAAAACATACCCAACACGCACTATACATGTACCGGGACCTGTGCTCAAGAACTGAAAAATGATACACTACATGCTCACATTAACTACTGTACTGGTCATGAGCAAGTGTTATTCCTCCATGGTCTAGTACAGCATACTGGTACGTGTACACACCGAGCACATGGCTGTGCATGAATGTGTACATTTACTTGGTATTTGTTGACCTTGACAGAACTAAATTTACTAACGGATGTGGATAACGGCATTTCCCTGCACATTGACCTTTCCACAAAGTTCAGACTGAAATAACAACTGAGTTGTATAACTTCCTTTTTTGGCATTTAATTTCCTCCCTTCGTGCTCAGATGCTGTAGTCTTGGTTCAAGACACCATTACGATACTACATGTACAATTACCCCATTAATTTACCTGTGCAAGAAATTTGAATTTAATCAACATGTGGGTACAACATGTGTCTTCTTGTTGGTAGTCAAGAAAACCATATAGTTGTCCCAGGTAATCGACACCCTGCAGAGAGTACTCCCATTACACTTTACAGAATTGACCTGCCCGTATCGTCTTTTGAGAATTAGCCCCGCCCCTTAGACAGACTTGGGATTCGTGCACTTATACCAGTATGTGGTATGCGCGATATGTACATGTACAGTACATGTATGAGTGGTTCAGTTGCAGTAGCACACAGTGGCGCATTACACTCTCGCTCTCAAAGTGTTTGCCCCAAGAGCGCACAATCCGAGTTTGTCCTTTGTTGAAGTTGAAGAAGTTGATTTTTGAGAAAATTTTTGTCACTGTGTACAAAATGTATGGATAGTATGGTTGTATGTTGGTTGAATCACACATGTTGGAGTCATGATACTTGGCTGTGATGCATGGAATGCATCTTGTGGATTTGCCTTTTGGGAATTACGGATCACTGAACAAGCTGGACATATGTACATCCTGGTGGATCACATATGTTTGAAATTTTTTTCTCCAAGGTTTGAAGTTTCACGTAATATTCAACCACAGAGGTGAAATGCTTGGAAGTTGGATACATTAATGCTTGTGAACAGCGATGAGTCCATTAAATGCAGTGTGGAATGAATTCAAATTAATATTTACAAAGATTGTAGACATAACAATTCACCATGAAAAAAAAATGACATCAACATAAAGAGAAACTCTGCAAAAACAACCAACTACCTCCTCCCCCCCAAAAAAAATCATGAAGGCCGTGAGAAGGATGTGTGAAGTTTCTTCTGTTGCAAACTGTATACATGAGGTACCCCTACATGTAATAAGGGGGTACATATGCTTGCATGCCCAGTGATGTGGACTCACTCATAGGATATCCACTTGTTACCCTGGGGGCTGTTTATACACTTCCATTGTGCAGTGAGCTGTCAGGATAACAGCTGTAGCTTTTATTCAAACACAGGTCAACAGATTGGGGTTGTGTGGCAGTTTGCACCATGGACATGCTGGTACATGTATGCACTTATGGTATTGCTTGTGCATACATGTACATGTACAGTAACATCCATGTGCATGTACATGTACAGTGTGGTCATACATGTGCATGTACCATGCATAGTCACGCCTTGTTCCTTGCTCTTTGCGTACATGTGATAAGTCTCATGTATACTGTGATTAACTACATGTACACTGTGCATATTGTGCCTGTTCAAGAATTTGTTTTTCAGAATAACTTTCATCAATTGTTAACAGACAGACACGTACCGGTACATGTACATTTACGGTATGTGGACAGTATATGAACCAAAGATCGTACGGTGCTGCGTACTTGCGCAAGATGTAGAACTTCGCCTTGAATACACATAAAACGTTGTAGTCGCACGGGTGCCGTTTGGGTTAGACTACGCCTGCACAGTGCATGTTAATGCACCGGCACAGGTGCTGCGACAGGCACGCACACCTGGTATGCCAGTGCCAAGCATTAACGTTCACACTCGAAAGGCGCCTATGGTGGTAACACCTTTTCGGCAGAGTTTTCCATCTTACGCTGCATAGGGGGGCTATACTATCTTTGGTGTGAAATGGGAGCTTCGATACATGTACCGGTACATGTTCATCATACATGTAAGTCCGATCCCTTATACGCTTAATCTGCCTTCGGAATAGGATTCAATGTGAGAAAAGTTAGCATCGTTGGAGTTGGTGAAGGATTGAGGACAGTTAGGGTAATGGCTGTAAGACAAACAAGGTGTCAGACTTATGAGATGGCAGACATACAGTTCATGTATCCACGCATGGACAGAAATCAAAGTAAATTTAAGTGTTGGACCTACATGTACATGTACCGGTACATGTATGTATGAGGCATCAAACCTCAATGTAACGTACATGTGTGGGGCCTTTATTTGGTTGAAGATGTGATTTTGTCCAACTTAATGGTACATACATGTACATGTATGTGGTGTTGGACTTACTGTTGGACTTGCACGTAAATGTATGTGCGACCTGACATGTTTTAACATAGGGGGCGCTGTAATTCAGCTGTCAGGTGATCAGTGAACATCTGGTGGCCGGCGCACTGCCGGTGGTGGTTGTGAGCTTTAATACACGGATCTGTTTCAACTCTTTCATCATTCTAAATGAGACTTGTGCTTGGTGATTATGTACCGGTAATGTACAGACATTTTTTTCTTGTTATAGCCCTAATATTCACAGACTCCTCTAATTTTCAATCTCTCTTTTCCTTCACCTTGGACGCTAGAGTCAGTGGCAATACATGTACCGGTACAAGCTGGCGGAAACTTCTGGGTGGGGGGGGGAACCCGGGAGTACACACACGTACCCCTTTTTAGCAAGTTTAGTGTCAACATTTCAAAGAAGTGGCAGGGGGTGAGGTGATGTGCGGACATCCCATAGACTTCATGCCCGTGGTTAGAGTTACTGGTAGCATGACTTGACGGCATCCCTCCTTACTTATCAAAGTACATGTACATGGTCATACATATTCTCATACATGTACATGTACAGGAGTATGTACAGTACATGTACACGTATAGCCCACTTTTTGTTCAGATGCAGTGTGTGACTACACATATACGGTACATGTATGAATGCGTCGTCATGACGTCTCTGCCCAATTTCCTTTCTTGCTTAAGTTTTTTTTTTTCATTCGAGGTGAAACAGCTAGTATTGGTACACACTTTGTGTGACTTTTGGCTTGCCGGACAGCATACATGAAGAGGTTAAAGTACAACCGAGTCACTCAAAAATGGAAAGATTACTCAGCGATTACCAGCGTTTAAACAACTGAACACCGTGGGAACCTGAGCCCAGTTTTGCACCACACCCAGTGTTTCTCACGACAACCGAATTCTGGTACCGGTACATGTACTCTGATACATGTATGTTGCCATTGCTTGCACTGCTGTGGCTGCAAAGCAGTCTTTGCAGTTTGAACTGTAACGGTCATAGTGGTAGAGTGATTCACTGGGTGGTGTACCAGTACCTAACTCCACAGGTAGTTCCTCAAAAGCAAACAGACCTTTGCTTTCAGTCTACATCACTCCCTACCTGCTTATTTCTAGAACAAACACAGTTATCAAGACACCCAGGGAGCTCAAAGTGGAGTAGTGCACAGAGTTGGGTAAATTAACGAGCTGAATTTTGACCCAAAATAAAAAAAAACTAGTGTAGTATGCAGAATTGCTTGCCCACAGATACATGTACATATGTATGTACAGGTCTCAGGGCAATAGTAGGTCTTCCCATCAGGGGTGAGGTATGTCAGGATTTTTCCAGATTTGAGGATTATTTTTATCATGATCTGACTTTACCTTCCTGGTGTCTTTATGCATACGTTTTTATGGTAGGGATGCCCTTAAGCAAACTTTGACCCAGCACTGCTGGGCAGCCATGATCAAACCCTTTGGTGATTATTTTGTGGCTATTTCATTTCCCCCCAATCTCACCGGTGTCCCATATGTACTGGTATGTGTTTTTAATTGATGAAATGAAATGTCAAGGAGTTATTGCCTCTGAGAGACAGATCCCTATGTACACGTACCGGTATCATAGGTACATACAGTACCTATTTAACCCTAACCCCCCAAGGGTGTATGTAAAACCATATTGAAAGTGGAGGATGGAGGACCGTTAGGTTTAATTTCCTTACAAAATTTTATGTTTTTACAGGTCGTATACCGGTACACTGTTGGTCTGCATCGCTGATCGAAAAAATGACGACCCTTCAGTACAGTATTATTGTGATGCTGTGCAAACCCCAGACATGCAGCCAACCTTTTTAGCTGCTCGTGGAACACCCCGGCTAGCCTGAATACCTTCGGACCCACTTCCAGGCCTGTGCACATGCTGGACAGAGACGAGGAGAGTTCCTAGAGTTGAACCTCGAAATTTTCAGCTTGATATGTAATTACTGCCCTTAGTGATCCTACTGTGTGGCCCATCCTTTTTGTGTGATACTCTCAACTTTCTATCACAGTCGCATCTCTTTGTCGTTTGTTTCGCCGCCTTCATCATTTCATCCAGATTGGGATACTTTGTGGTTTACCCTCTTTCATCTCTCTTGTGTGTGAAATTTCCCCCTTGCCTTCTGCACACCGCGCCCACGAATCCCTTCCCCACACACTCACACGCCCACCATGACAACATTTGCCGTGCCCAAAGTGACACTAGACTTGCCCCAGTCTTTTGGGCACATCCGTTCCAGCAGTGACTCCAACCTTCTTGAGAGGCGGAACTGTTTTGAGGACAAAGACTATGGGGACGACTTACCCGATGAACTGTATGGACACCGACCCGATACCGAGGGAGGGGTGCTGGAGCCGGAGAAGACAGAGAGGTAATGGTTGCTTGGAATGAAATGATTTGAACAAAAATTAAAAAGCAAGGCCGCATAAAAGTAATTCCCGGCTTCTCATCAGATCTTGTCAATAGGTTCAATGAGACATGTATTTGTTTCACCCTGAAGTAGTTACGGTAACTTTGCCTCCAATACTAAAATTTCAAATTGAATGAAAATTAACCTTCAGTTTCTGCCAGCAAGTATTGGCCTGGGAATGTTTTAGTTTGGACAATCAAGAGAGTTTGAAGAAATCAAATCGCTGGTTTAACGTCTTTGGAGTAAGCTTTTGATCAGGCTGCGCGTCATCCTACTACCATCCAGGCTACTGAGTGAGATTCCGTCTGCTTGCAGTACTGTTATAATGGAAAAACTTAACGAATAAAATTTTGCTTTGACATTCAGTGGATAGGGGTATTTTATTTGTACCATATTAAAGTTTTTGATAAAAAAAGAAAATGGATCCTGTACAGATTTTCAAATGTGGGCTGTGATGAAAATCCTAGAATTATTTTTATGTAGCCCATGGCTGAGTGAAAAGGTTTGTTGTTCAGGAGTTCCTTTTAGTCAAGAGGAGGCACATGTATAAAGTGAATTGCATTGCTTACTTGTACCATATGGAGCTATTAAACACAAGGAGTCAGCACATGCAGAGATCAAAAGGGTCAATGATGGCCACCGTGCTGCAAGGACAAAACAAACTCTGCGCCGCTTGCGGGCTACAAGGAATGCTCGGAGTTGCATTTGCAAAGGGTCGTGGGTACCACGCATGTCTGTAACACTTCCGAATGTTCAACATGGCCGCCTTGAGACGGAAACCATCATTATGAGAGACTTAAATTTTGATAATTTTAGTGACTGTTCCGATATTCCAGTGACAATGAAAGTATGGTTATGTCTTTATATCCCAAAAACGTCTCTCTTAACAATAAACAGAATTACTACCCGTCACTAATACAAGCTCTCCAAACAATACACACAAGAAAACTGAGCGAATGTACATGTAGCTGGTCCAGAGGAAAATAAAAAAACACCAAAAACATGGGAAGACTCATTGCCCTTTCTGTCATTGTCCACAACTGTCTCGGCATGAAATCTCACCACATTGTCAAATGCATTCCTGCGGCATGTTTCCACCCTCTTTTAACTGTAGGAACCACTTGGATTGCGACTTACATTTATGATATAAATATTGCAGTTCATATTTTGGGTTTTCTCTACCGCCGGAAACGCAAAATGCCATAACTGACTTTAAAATCTCTGACTTTTGCTATATAACCACCGCTGATTTGGATTTTTCGAGCGCATGTGCGGAGATCACTCGCTGACTCCTGAGGACTACTGAAGAGAACTGTGCATCCTCTCCGTGGATCTTTGCCACCATTTATTTACTCCAGTATGCCGCAGCGAAACATGGCGAGTGTGTGGGTTACCAGCTACCTGGCAGTGGCGATCACTGTGTACAAAGTATGTCTAGGGTCTTCAACACTGGGGCCGGTAACCGCACCTTGCCTGTGGAGCTGACCGGAGCAGTTAATCGGATTGTGGTCTGTGGGGACTTCGTTCTTACTCCTTGTGTTTAATAGCTCCATGCCTGTGCAATGTACATGTATACATGTACCATTATTTTCGGAATATAAGTCGCCCCCGTGTATAAGCCACAGCATGTAAAATTTAGCAAATTGAGATTTAAAGCCAGTGTACTGTATAAGCCGCACCGGCGTATAAGCCACGCCGCAGTGCTGACGATCCAACTACGAAGGTCATCGTGCTGCGTGCTGAAGCACCAGTACAGTGTTTACAGTACTTCAACTACATGTGCAATATGAAAGTATAAAGCAAAATAGGAATGAGTGTCACTATAAAAACTTAATTTTAAGTCCTCAAATGTAATATTTTTTGCTGGCTGGATGGTGGTCCCCCATGGGCCCAGCGTCAGCTCTTGCCTTTTTTTTCCAGTGGCCAGCAAAAGTGATGCGGTCGGGGACGTACAATAAAATCTTTGTAACTCAAAGTCAGTTAGGTCAAAAGATCATTTTTATCTCGTTGGTGGACTATCTCTCACTACAAGAGCAGGCTTTTAGAAAAAAAAAACCTCTGTAATTGTCCACAACACTACATGTACCTGTACATCTGATTATCTCGAGTTTTTTGTGATGCCAATCAAACAAACACCGCCAAATCGTTTCAAAAATGAAAAATCCGCTGTACATGTATATAAGCCACAGAGATATTTTTCAGCATGAGAATCAACGTATAAGCTGTGGCTTACATTTATGTTCCAAAAATAACAGTATACTCATGTTGAGCTAATTCATGTGCTAAGGCCACATCTGAATCACTCCACTGTGACTTGAAACGACAAATGACTGTAGGAACTGGCTATGGCCACTAACCATGGACTCGGTGCAATTCCTAGCCACAGTCAAGTAATTTGGACATGGCTATAGCAGAGATCAGCCGAGGGGAATTAGTCACAAGACATACACGTACAGTACATAAACATGTATACATGGGTATGCGCTGCAGGACTTTTGGGTGGTAATCTCATTTGGCTCCATGAGTATTTTCTCTGTGTGGTCTACTCCTGTTCTCAGCACAGTTGTAGATCCAAATAATTGGCCCCCATGGGAGCCAACTTTGTCATGTGCTTTCAATTTTCATTGAATACTGCTGCAGGGAACTGTTTTTATGTTTTTTAATGCATTCAATAAGCACTCACTGTACATGTACATGCACAAACTACTAAGATGTACAGTAACGGAAGTCTGAAAAGTAAAATTTGTATGAAAGTGGAGTCTCGTGTGGTGGCCCAAAAATGTACAGTTAAGGCCAGTGTTTACCGGTATGTAAGGCAAATGTGAAAACGAAGCGAACTTTGAGGTCACAAAATATTTGCAGCAAAGTTTGCGTTGAGTTGGCATGCGAATTCCCTGCGCCAGTGTTTGATCAGCCGTCACAAACTTGTGTTCACATTTGCCGGAGTGGCAACTATGAACCAACCTTTAGATGCAATTTGCAAAATTCTTGTGATATATGTGTAGGTAAAATGAAGATAACCTGTTCTTGGTCAGCGTGTGTATTTGGATTAATGCTTTACGCGTGTCTGCAGATGTGCCAACTTTATACAGGAGGCAAAGGATTGCTTCTCCTCATCTGTTTATACCAGATTTTTTTCTCTTAATTACATCTGCAGCGACCAAGACACAGACTCAGATTTGCAAGACCTTGCCGGAGAGTTCCGATCACGGCTTAACAGCAAAGGCCACCATGCATCCATCACTGACAGACTACACGAAGAACTCACTAAGGCAAAAGAGGTACAAACCAATCTCACATGCATGACGTGTAATGACGAGCTAGGAGACTTCATTTATCTTCATTGTTTCAACAAGTAAAAGCCAACGCTCTCACTCTTCTCCAAAAATGCTAGTTGGTTCCTCTAGGTGGCGACAAAGACTGGTTACAACTGACACAAATGACATTGACACTATCTGAATGATCCTGACCAGTTTAAGTCCCAGCCTGCACCACATTGAGGGGACAGTTTCTTACGGCAGGCAATTTCGGACCAGATTGTGGTATCTTCCGTGCTTCTCCACCAAGATTTGGCTTTATGCCACAACCCAGTGACTCCAATGGGCGCTCGTGTCACTTCTAGCTTGAAAACACAGCTGTTGAATGCAGTTTGTGCTCAGACATCCACGTATGTGTAGCTTTATTTTTGAATGTTGTCATGTGCCCGCATTTGCTTGCAGGCCTTGGAACTGAAGGATGAGCAGGTCTCCCAGCTGACTAGGGTACGAGAGGAGATGGACCAGGAGATCACCGAACTCACTGCCAGACTGTTTGAGGTAAGCGACTATCTCTATTTTTTCAAGCTTTTCACAAACCATACTCTTTCCTTTCCTTCTGATCCCTCTTTCTCCTGCCCAAAGGGTACAGCAGACAGCGATGAGGGCCTAGGGGACATTTCAACAAACTAGCCCTCGTACTGGATGCCATTTTTACAAGTCGTATCTGCATTAAGTGTGTGGCTAAGGTTTGCCCTCTGATTCTGAATTTTACATTTTCATTTACAGTACCATGCATTTTTGTTGATAAGGAAATGCAAATTAAGGGTGCTCAAACAAGTTTTCAAAACAAGGATATTCACGCATGAATTCTGTGAAAATAGGAAATTTTGAAGTGCTTTGTTTTGTGTCTCTTGATTGGTTTTGCCTGAAAAAACCTGCATGTTGCAGGAACCCACCTGCTTTAAACTTGCGTCTACGTAAAGTACATGTATGTTTATTTTCCTTTTTACAGGAGGCACACATAATGGTAAATGAGTCCAATGTGAAGAGGGCTAAAGCCGAGAAGAAACTGAAAGAGGCAACAGGGAAGGTAGGGGAGTGGTTCCGTTGTGGTAACATTGGCCCCGGTACTTGGCAATGCAAACAACTTCAGAATACACAATGAGAACCAGTGCTTTTCAACCGTACAACGCACAATGTGGGGTCATGGACATATGGTTGTCTGACTTTTGGGGTCTGCCAATGTATCAACATTGCCTGATTATTTGATCTTACCTATGTCACTGATACCAAACTTTGAATCATATCAAAATATCAGAAATCAAGATAGTGGGAGTGATGGCAAAAATGTGGAAAGCAAGTCAGATCGTTGACAGAATCTCCAGTCTGAATCAACAGTTGTTACATTAGTTTTGCTTTGCGAAGCGTGTGCAAGTGCTACATATTGTGCTCCTGAGTGGAAATCAAAATATCACAAAATCATAAGCACTGATATGCCCTGCACAAATGACATCTGGGCCAATGACAGCGATCGGGCCAATTTGAAAGCCAAATCGCCAGTGCAATCACATGGCCTGACTGTCAGTGGGCGGGTGACATCTGGGTGAGTGTTACTGGTCAGGCAGCTTGTGTGCATAACGTAGCCCATTGAGAAAGGAAGAAGTGTGTTGGTGAGTAATGACTCGGTAAAACTTTCACGATCTGTTTGAACACTTGTTTGTGACTTTTGCGGCAGCAGTCTCATTCATATTGGGTGAACAAAACAGAAGTACCAGTATCATGTGGGCATTTAGAATTACGGAAGTTTGCATGTACATAATATACTGTTTTTTTAACAGTATTAAATTGTGGCTTTGCATTAAGGGGAGTTCAGAGTTATCTGCTTTGAGTTAACAAGAGTTCACTTTATTGTTTTTGAGTTAACAAGAGTTTACTGTACTGGAGGGATTATTCAATATATTGACTATACTTGGTATTTGATTTCTGATATATCAATTATTGAAAGATCTGGTATTTATGGACCCTGCTGATTTTTCAATGTTTGTTTTAATCTGTCCCAAATCATGCAAAATAGAAAACACAAAGGGTGCTGCAAACCTGTCAGTGACTAAAGTGACCAAGGTGACCTATTATTGGCTTTCAAAAGAGTGTCCCATACACATGTAAAACAATGACCACTTTGGTTGATTGTAATATTGAAAATTACCGCTTTGAGACATATGCTTAGAGGTGTGCTAAATGAAAGATCTCTGTTATCTTATGACTTTTTTTTGTCACTGTCTGACCGTTTGTGTCATAAAGTTGTGGAAGTGTCAATGATATCTTTTCTTGCCGCGGTTGTGGACTTGCCCAGATCGATGTTCTCCAGGCCGAGGTCCAAGCCCTCAAGATGCTGGTCTTGACGTCCACGCCCAGTAAGCCCAGCCCTCAGACGACCAGCCCCAAGAAGCGGGGCCTTCTTCCCAAGCGCTCCAAGAGCTCCCTCTCACCCAACGTCCTCAGTCACCACCGGAACCACAGCCTTCAAGGACCCATCTCCATGGAGCTCACAGCTCCGACAACCGGGAGGGGACAAGCCGCACCCCCAGAGCCAGAGAGCCCAAAGAGAGGAGAGGTAGAGTAGTGAAAAGTCCAAGTTTTTCTGGCAAGCCAAGAACACGTGTTTGAGAAGACTAAAGGGCAACTTTAGGCAAATCTGAAACTTTGTCAGTCTATTTAATACTGAGCTCATATTTGTAATTCTATTTTCCAAAAGTGAATAAGAAATGAAAAACTGTATTTGAAAGCTGAGAGCAGAATTTGCATTATTTGCATCATCTTTTGTTTCTATATTTTTGGAAAACTGCTTCTCATTTCTGAATTATGAGTAATAATGAAGTCAGTTATGGAATGACAAATTTTGACTTCTGCAAGGAAAAGTTTCACTGAATGTTTGAAATGGCCGACAAACTTTTTCTCCCAGAGGGAAGAATATTCCGCAGAGATGATGGAAAACTAAGTCAGTCACAGCTTCGAATGTCCCAGTGTGCAGAACAGAAGTGGCAGACTGTTTCTGCCTTGTTAAACATTTTATTATAAATGTAAAATATTTTAACAACAGTTTTAATTAAAAAGTAAGACCAAGGGGCTTTCATCAATTGAATGAAATACATACAAAGACCAGCAAGTGAGTCTTTGTATCGTATCTCTTGATGACATCAACTAAAGGGTCAAGTTCATTCAGTCCTTGAAGAGTGGAAAATCACCAACTTGAATTAGCTCCAGCTGGGAAACTTTTAAAACGAAAATGAGAAAATGTTTTTGTTTTTTTTTCAAGAGGGATCCGACAGGGAAGTGCCGTGTCCATTAATGGTTGATTAAAGGTTTTTCCCAAGTATGAATGTTTCCTTGTCTCATCAGGCGGACCCTGTTCTCCTACGTGAGTTCCAGGCCTGGAAGGAGCATCCCACCTTCCAGCGGGAGGATCCGTTCATGGCCCGCATCGTCACCGAGGACGTCTTCCCTTGCCTCAACTTCCCCAACCGGCAGTTGTCCGAGACACTGCAGGCGTGCGTGGAGAGCTTCAGCCTCTGCATAGAGCCCCTGCCGGACAAGGGCTCACTGCCCAGGTAGGATGGGTCTGAGAATATACATTGAAATGTGGCAGCGTTGACCACTTGTGGACAGTATTGTTTTGGTCCAAAATTACAACTTTTGAAACGGCAAGATACAGGAGCAAATTTTTGATACACAGCCAAACACTGCCAATACTGACTTGTTAGAGTCATCTGAACAATATTTATACGACTTACGGCTTCTTACCACAACCTTATGTCTTGCTACACACCAGGGTGCTGACATAGAACAGTAGTTGCTGTACCAGCTGGCCTGTACAGTGACCAAGTTGAATTTCAACACACGATCCGCCTCTACAGACTTAGAGACTTGTGTTCAAAACAAATGTGGGGATTGGCATACATGTGCATGTATACATGTCCACAGGCAGTGACTTGGGGCATGCATCCATCAATGGTGCCGTTGTATGCAGACGGCCAGATTGTGTCGATACGTCCACTGATGCGAACTGTTTAATGCTTGGGGTAGGGAACATTAACCCTAATCCCCTTAGGCTCTTGCACTAGAGAGCATACTGAACCCATCATGTACTTGTCTGTGTACTTGTACATGCAGGTCACCAAATCTGATAAACTCTGACAAAGTGACTCCATTGGAGTTTGACTGATGTGGTATAGATGGGGTCTATGCAGTATAGGATGACTTGCATTTCTGCAGTACCAAACCTGACAAAATCAAGCATAGTCCAACACTTGGTTACAGCAAGCCAGACACTGCACACAATGAACCCTCTGTATCCCAACTCACACAAAATCCAACACCCTCACCCTGGGCCTTTGATACCAAGTCCAACAGAATTCAACAATAAGTTAATTGGGTATTGTACCAAACCTGCCCAAACCTAGCAAAACCTGTTGTAGGAGTTTGATGGATACTGGGCAGTTAGGGTGAAGTTACATGTATTTCAGTGCCAGTTGCCGTGCTTAATGCATTCAGAAGAGATCATCTGTGTATTTCAGTGCCAGTTGCCGTGCTGAATGCATTCAGAGGAGATCAGCTGTGTCTTTATGAGGCACACTTGATCTCTGAATGTTTCACTGTGTGAAATATGTCCTCAAATTGTGCAGAAAGAAAGAAAACTGTCAGTGAGGGTGTGTAGTGGTCTGCTTTGATCTTACAGCTGTGCTGAAGCCCAGTCAGTTGCTTTTGTAATGTTGTTCTTTTTTGTATCTCATACGTGCTATTACAAATTAAAAAACACTACAAAATCTTGTAAAAAAGGCTTTTTTTCTGAATTTCTAATTGCTGGCCTGATGATAGATCTTCTCTAAAATTTCATAATATAAACATTTGATGTGTTCAACTTTTGTAAATTTTCAGCGCTAGTGCTGTTGTCACAGATGGAGTGGAAACTAACCTGAACGCCTAGTAATGGCATTATAGAAAGTAGGTTTGTGGTAGCACCA